GAGAAGCTAACCAACGAACGCGCAGACGGAAGACTGGAAGGTATGACTCTGTACTTCGTCCACTTACTCTCCATGCCTACCTATAGCGCCTCTGGCCGTTACCTGCTGGCGGTGGAGGAGAGCCAACCAAGGACGTTTGGAGAAGCTAACCGACGAAGGCGCCGACGGAAGACTTGAAGGTAAGACTCTGTACTTCGTCCACTTACTCTCCATGCCTACCTACAGCGCCTATGGCCGTTACCTGCTGGCGATGGGACAGCTGGCGTTTGAGGAGAGCCAACCAACGACGATTGGAGAAGCTAACCAACGAAGGCGCAGATGGAAGACGTAAAAGAAGGACTCCGTACTTCCTCCATTTACTGTCCGTGCCTACCTACAGTGATTGTGCCATTTTCTGCTGGCGATGAGGATACCCTCTACCAAAAATGGATGCTTAAGGTGATAGGGGGTACGGCATTGTATTGCAAGCGTGTAATCGCATACCCTTTTCTAGTACACCTAACTGTTGAATGTTACGAATGTGGCAAGCCGGCTGCCCAAGGCAGTCGGGGACGATTTTCCGTACTAAGCTGTATGTCTAGTGTATTGTTCCTTTTCCTAATTCGGAGTAAATGTTGCATTTTGCTATGGCAGTGTTCTTGCTTACGGTGCTGCTAAGCCTCCGGAATGGGAGAAGGTGTGATACGCAGTTGAGTAAATTTCAACCACAGGGCTGCGTTAGCTGATAGGTGCCTATGGATCACTAATGGAAGAGTTGAACGGACGTTGCCTGTGGGATGGGCGGGTATCTCTAGCAGTGGTAACGGAGCCATCATCGCACGGTAAATAAATAAATTTTAATTTAATGCCAGTTTACAGGCATTGTCAAGGGAAGCGATTAAACACAAATCTGACCAGCAGTGAAAAAAAAACTCCTGAGCTTAAGGCATAAATATATAGTTGATGGTGGTTTTTGTGGTTTGGAGGGCTCAGGAGAAAAAAACTGTCGGCGGTGGTAGAATATCGACCGTCAAGAAGGGGGGAGGTTGCACGGTATCGGAGATTATCGGACGTCAAATTCCTTTCATGAAGTTGGGGATAGTCAAAGAAGAGGCGTTGAGGAACAGCTGGTGAGACCGGCCATAGTGTTCAGAGACCACAAACGCCATCGCTACGGTACAGTCGATCAGTAGATTCAGCACCCAAAATTTGTGGGAGCTTTTCTGAATGCAAAAATCGAGTAATAGTTCTCTTAAATAAAGGAAAATTTTGCAGTTTTCACACTCATGGGTAGTTTATTCCAAAAAGCAATTGCATTTACAGAAAAGAACCGACGATATTTAACAGTACGTGCCAGAGGCAGAAATAAGAAGACCTCACGGTGACTGTTACGTCGTGGGTGGATATGATGTCTTAAAGAGGTGAGCGGGTTAAATGTGTGATTATATAAGAGTTTAAATAGCAAAAATAGTCCCTTTTGTAATCTACGGAACCATAAAGGATCGAGGCCTGTAAGCCGGCAACGTTCTTGGTAAGACAAATGTCGGCGTTCTGGGGTTAAAATTCTTTTAGTAAAAAAGTGTTGAACGGATTCTATTTTCTTCCGCTCAGTAGCACGCCTGAGGCTAAATGAAAACGAACAGTATTCCAGACCAGGTCTAACGTACATGTTGAAAAGGCGCATTCTAATGCCCCTAGTTTTAAAATTTCGGAGGATAAACCCGGTCGTTCTACGTGCTTTGGAGACTATCAAGGCACAGTGCTCCCAGAGATTGAGACTCTTGGAGTATGATACGCCCAAATCCCTTAGAACCCCTGGCACATTTATTGCGTGACCTTCAATACTTAGTTGAGGTTGACGGTCGTCGCCAACCGCCATGACTGAGCACTTATGCCAGGAAAGAGAAAGGCGCCATGTGCGGCACCACTGGGCGAAAGCCTGTAGATCGCTCTTTAGGAGCTCAAGCACGATGTCATGATCTGCCGGCCTATATCGATATGCAACTTTAAGATCATCGGCATACATGAAAGGCTTACCATTCTGAAATAAATCGGGTACATCATTAACGAAAAGGCAAAATAAAAGCGGGCCGAGTACACTACCCTGAATGACTCCACTCCTCACACGTGTGGGGTTGGAGATGGTATTGGAAATCTTAACTCGTTGTGTGCGAGTGCCCAAATAAGAGGATATAAAATTTAAAATTTTGCCAACTATTCCGAAAGAGGACAATTTCAAGAGGAGAAGAGCATGGTCAACACGGTCAAAAGCCTTAGTGAAATCGAAATATACTGTGTAAAGAGCAAAACCATGGTCCCTAGATTGGAGAACATAGTCAAAGAAAGAGAGCTGACAGGTGTCACAAGATCGAGCTTTGAGGAATCCATGCTGAGCAGCAATCAGTAAGTTGTTCGCTGTTAAGTGACACATCATCTTATCCTTGATCAATGTCTCTAAGATTTTCGAAACTGCAGAGAGGGTGTTTATTGGCCGAAAGTCATCAAATGATGTAGATTTGCCGTGCTTAGGAATGGGCTTAATGTGTGATTCCTTCCACAAGGTAGGATAAGTTTCACTTTCAAGAGCAAGATTAAATAGCTTGCATAAGAGGGATGGGAAGATCGTGTTTGCATCGGCTTTTAAAATGCTTACTGGGACACCATCAGGGCCTGGACTATAAGATTGACGAAAACGCCGAATCGCAACAGTCACATCCCACAGAATGAAAGTTATAGTTTCTAGAACTACCCCAGTCAATGACTGGATGGTCGGAAGCGGAGTGGTCGAGTCTTCAATAAACGTTTTGGACAGGAAATCATTGAAGCTATCCGCGGTTAACTGGGCATCAACTATGGGATTTCCGAGATCGTCTCGAAGGATGGGATACTGCGTCTTTCTCTGAGTTCGTATTTTTCTAGAGAAAAGTTTCGAGACACTTAACGAATGGTTTTCGGTAAAGTGGACCTCTTCGGCTAGCTGTTTTTCTTCAGACAATCTCTTATCTCGATCAAAAATATCACAACTCAAGGGCAGAACAGAAACATCGTTCTGCAGATGGAAACGACGATAAAGCCTGCGCAATCTGCGACGAAAGGGTAAAGGTAGGAAAATCTCATCCCCAACATTAATAATTTTCTTACGGGGGACAAAACGAGAAATAAGCGGACCCAAAATTTCGTACAGTTTTGCAGTGCAAACATTTACATCCGAACTAAGGAAGAACTCAGTCCAGTCGTAGGAATTAAGGTGTGTTAATAATTCGTTTGAGCGAGTTGGTCGGAAATTGCGGAAAAAGCTATACTTTGGGGACGACGTTTTGTCAGCCTCGAATTCCAACGTTGAAACAACTATGTCATGGTCTGAGCCTCCGAGTGGGCCTAGGGATGACACTGACGATGGCAAGCAGCCTCTACAGAAAATTAAGTCAAGTATACTTGAGCCTCGGGTGGGAAAATCATAAACCTGAGTTCACATCCTAACATCCACAGCCTCAAGAAAGTCATCGAACCTTCTGGGGCCTGAAGGCGGAGACCAGCGGACTTCAGGGAGATTAAAGTCACCCGCAACCAGTTGATACTTAAAACTTAAGTCGGACGCAGCATGAAATGCCTGTGAGAGTAAGCGATCAAAATTGTCATTGGCGTTGGGAGGGCGATAGACGCAGCCAACGAGTAAGGAGAACTTATCTTTTAGTGCAACCTGGAGCCAACAGCTGCCTTCTACCGCTGTAAAGTGCGGGAAGTCCAACGGCAAACATGTAAGTGTTTGCTTAACGTAGACGCAGCTGCCTCCACCACGGCTATCTTGGCGATCATTTCGAATGCAATTGTAGCCTAGAAGAGAGAGTTCGGAGTCAGCTTCTGAGGCTGATGCCCACGTCTCAGTTACTAAAACAATATCAGGACAATGGACGAAAACCTGAGTCTGAAGCAAAGGCATCTTATTAAGCAAGGATCTGGCATTTAAAACAAAAAGTTTGAAGGGAAAGGCTGTTAATTTTTGAGGGAGGTGGGCTACATCGTCCAGTTCTGGGTCGCCCACGGAGCAAACGGTCCGGATGCAACCATCCGGTTCTGCAAAAAATTTTGTGGCATCGAAAACTTCTGACGTGGATAAAAAAAGGTAGGACTTGGGGTAGGGAATGACGGGCAGGTGAACTGGTAACCATTGTTAGCTAACTTATTTTCAGCTGGAAATCCGCGGGGCAGATACTGCAACGTATTCCCGCCGGAACGAATCTGAGGATCGGATGAATTAACTGATTCAGTATGGACATTATCATGAGGAATAAATTGGTAAAACGGCCGTGGAGGAAACAAGTTAGGGGGTGGGGGACGCAATGTTTCCATTGGAACAAGAGGTCTATTAAACGGTGGGAAGATCGGCATATTCGGCCTAACTGCCTCGATATGAGGGCTGGGGGGCAGTTGCGAACCCGCTACGTTTTGAGTCGGGGTATTTGAGGCACTGTTCGCCGATTGTGGAGGAAAACATTTTATACTGGTGCTGGATTTATTGGGTGTCCGAGTGGCTGAGACAGCA